GCCCCAGGGGGGCCCCGAGGGGGGGCCACCCTTGCCCCCTGGCTTCGGGGGGGACGGGGGGCCGGAGAAGCCTCTCCCGCCGCGAGCCTTTCTTCGTCCCGCGTGCGGGGGGACTCGCCTCCTCAGGACCAAGCGCCCGCGCGGAGTCCGAACTGGAACTCGCCGCCAGCGCGCACGAGGGAGGCTCGCGGGAGCAGCGCCCTGGGGGAGCGCGCGAGCAACAGCGACGGCAAACAAGCTGGCGGGTGGCGACCTAGCGCGCAGCTTCTGTGCGGGCAACTGCAAGTTCCCTGCATGTCTTTCGAGTCGGGGAGGGCGTAGGGCTTTGGTACGCCAGGACGTACCCCCAATAGGAGCGCTCCTATCGCGTTTAAACGGCGCTGTCAAGCCTCGAAGGAACCAGCTGGGCTGTGCCGGGAACATCGCCTCGCCCGAGAAAACGGGCGGGTCGAAGACGTCTCCCGCCACACTCGAGGCAGCCATCCTCCGTCCGCGCCACACCTTTCTGAGCTCCAAACGATGCAAACAATAAATGGATTTAAAATCAGAATTGTTGGAACTTTGCAAATAGCAAATCAAACATTCGTCTTAGCCAGTTTTTCTCCTTCGCTTCACTGTCCCGCACTTAAATTCGACGGAGTAGGCGGATGGAGTAGAGAAATCTAGCTCTGTTTTACCTCCGTCTTTCCAAGCCCGAGATCGCCCAACACTGGACTACAGTTCCCATACTTTTGCTTATTGCCCTTCCTGGGAATTGTAGTCTAACATTATCTTGGGACCCCAGGGTGATAATAATCTCCGCAGGCTGCATGTTGAGTTGGAAGGAGGAGAGCCCACGCTGGGCCTGAAGAGCTGCAGATTGTTTTGTGTTCATGTCAGACGCTGCTTTTGTGTTGGTAAAAAAGAAACCCAAAGAAGTCTAGCAGCCATGCCAAGGAACTATCTGCAAATAACTGAGGTTTATTCTGGGAGTATTCTTGCCATTAGAAATTTAGGATACCTGGTGAACCTCACCTTGATTTAGAATGTCTTAGCAGTCTTTCTCCAAAGGTTTGTCTGATTGGTAATCATTTAATAAAACTTTGATCAGGAATAAAATATCTTTCAGCATGAAAAACTGTGTATATCTGGATATCTCTGCTCTTTATAAGACCAATGAAACCAAACTCAGAATAAGGGGGGATGTCCCAAATAAACTAAAGAGATCATCCAAAATGGAGACAGATATTAGAAGTTCTGAAGTTCTGAAACCAGTTTTGTTAATACACTTCTACTCTTGATTTTAAAAATGATCCATTGCTTCTTTTCACAGATCTAAATTCATCTCATCAAAATTCCATAATCAATTCTAACTTGAAAATCCATGATGGCTGGATTTCCATCACAAACTAAAATAAAATATGGTCAGCATACTGCCGATGTATTCTGTGAATGCAGGCAGATGGGTTAATTCAAGAAATTGATTATTTATTTATTTATTTATTTATTTTATTAGATTTCTCCGCCACCCATCTCACCCACAACAGGGGACTCTGCGCGAGTTACATGTTGTATGAATACAGCTGGTGAACATGTTCTCAGAAGTGACCTTCTCTTCTTTTCCCTTTGTAAAAGTGTTCTTATGTACCTTTGGGGGATCAAGTCTTAATTTCCATTTTCTGAATTTATCTCCTTATTTATTTATTTAAACAAATTTATATGGCTGCCATCTACCAAAAAGACCTCTCTTATTGGTTCTTTTCTTGGTAATGCAATACCTTAGATGGGGAGAGAAACTGGTGTACTGGGAGACCGTGAGTTCTAGTCCCACCTTGGGCCCAAAGCAGTCGGGGTGACCTGGGGCCAGTCCCTCTCTATCAGCCCTAGGAAGGAGGCAAGGGCAAACTACTTCTGACATCTTGCCAAGAAAATTGCAGGGACTAGTCCAGGCAGTTGCCAGGAGTCAACACTGACTTGAAGGCACACACATACACCCCCCCCCAAAAAAAGATGGGGAGGAAGGTATTATATATTCTATCTTTCATTTCACTCCAAGGGCTTGATTACAAACAATTAAAACTTCACTTAATATGAATAGAGAATATTCATATGAAAGGTACAAATACTGAACTCTCCCTGAATGCTTAATTATAGCTTTAGTACCATTAAGGGCTTCTTTTCTTTTAGTATATATCAACTATGTCCTTTTATTTGAATTTTACTGATGAAACATCTACAACAATCACAACAGAGAAGATGTTTCCCACATACGATTTTCGGATCACAGCATCTTGCGGTTTCAAGAACCAAACAGTTTGGCTTTAATTAACCTCAGGATTCACTTCCCTATAGCAGAGCGATTGATGTGGTAAAGCTGTAATTCTACATACCTAAGGGCAAGTCACAATGAACTGAATGGAACCAGGGCCAGCTGTAGACATTTTGGTGCTCTAGGCAAAGTCATATTCTGGCGCCCCCTGTGGTTTAGCTCATCTTCCAATTTTGTTAAGAATTTCAAAAAGGCACCCTCTTGTTTCTGTTTTTCTTCAAGTTTTTGAGCTTTAGGCTTATGATTTTCAGCCTTGGACAAATGTTTTTCTTTTCTCGAACATTTTCGCCCTATTTACTGTGAATCACAGTAAATTCACTGTGATTCACAGTAAATAATTTTAATTACATCAGCACCCATTGTTGTCATATGGCAACAATTCTGCAAAATTATATTTAACCCTTGAGCAGGTGTGCTGGCACATGGCGTGGGCCATTACCACTTTTCCGGTTATAACTTCGATAAGCTGATAGTCACATGACTCTCTCACTCAGTATCATCATAAGAGACCTTTGTCTTGCTTCACAAATATTATTAGCTTCCTGAGGTCCATAGCTGTAATAATAATGTCCTTTTTGTGACTTGCAATGTCTGGTTAGTGTGCTGTTCACTACAACTAAACTGACTATGGGGGCGAATGTTTTTGAAAAGCATATAAAGAAAAAGTCTAAAGGACTGAGGAAAGATTATCAGATTTTATACTCATATTGTATATTTCAGAAGTCTTTTCAATTTTGACGCCTCCTATAATTTGGTGTCCTAGGCAACTGCCTAGGTTGCCTGGGCCTAGAACCAGCCCTGATGGAACTCATGTCTAAGTAAATATGCTTCAAATTGCACTGTATGACCAATATCCTGAGTATCCCATGTCAGTGGTTACTAAACTGGTAAATTTACTAGGTTACCAACCTAGTAAAAAACTAGGTTACTGGAAAGGCCATTTCATCCATAGACACAACACATAATCAGATTCCTATGTTAATCTAGTTTGTATCATGATTGTAGCAAATGTGCATTTTTCACAATTACAGACTGTGTTAGGATTTGGGCTGCATTAAGATAATTTTACAGATAAAGCAATTTCTTTGTTTCAAGAGGAATTATTTTATATTTCCATTTATTAAAATTTCAGTTTCATGTCATCTTCCATCTTACTTGTTTTTCCTATTTGTTGTAGGCATGCATATAAAAACATACAGGAAAATGTACCATCAAAAATGGGGGCTGCTTGGACAACTCACTGCTAATAATCTGTAGCAATTTTGATACATTTTTCCAACAGTAGAAGGGCCAAATGTGTGAATACAATTCAAAGCATCAACTACAAAGGTGAACCAAGTTTCAGTAAATATGTTCAATTCCCTTGAATTTTCTGATATTGTATGTCAGTGTTTCTGAAAGAGCAATATTACATATATAATCTAACCGTTCAGATAACTACAATCCAGATGTACATTTCCAGGTAGCTATAATCTTCCTTCAGCAGTCCCCCTGAGTGAATGCTGATCAAAACTTTGTTCAGCAAACAGCTTTACTGTCCCTGAAGGGAATCAGAATCGGTAAGGATTTAAGTTTGTTTTATGATATTTGACAAAGTTTGAAATATTTTACAAAGGTTGACAAAATGCAACAAATGCTGGGCAGATGCACTACCTGTGTGGTGTTCCTATAATAATGAAAAAAAAGCAGAAATAGAAGTAGAAGTAGAATGACTATGGTAAAAGAAAGCAAAGATAGTACCAAGAGTAATCTGGAGCACCACTTGAAGACCATCGGCAATTGACAAAATCACCATCAGTCAATTGCAAAAGGCAGCTTTACTTGGAACAGCTTCCATCC